AAGCAAACAACGATATACCAGGGCGAGGAGCCAAAAACGAGGGTGGCCGGGCCTCTCCAGGCGATCCACGCAGGCCAGGTTCAGGCAGTCAGAACGCGGGCAGTCAGAACGCGGGCAGTCAGAACTCGGGCAGTCAGAACTCGGGCAGTCAGAACTCGGGCAGTCAGAACTCGGGCAGTCAGAACTCGGGCAGTCAGAACTCGGGCAGCCAGGGCCAAGCCAGCCAGCACCAGGATAATAAAAAACATGGTGATCAGAACCGAGGAGATCAAACCCAGGAGAGCTCAAACCACGGCAACAACCCTAGAACGATGAGAAGCTTCTATGCCGAGTGGTTGCGCGAAAATGATCTTGATGCGAATACTGAAGTTAGCACCCTCGGAGACCAACTATTTGGGAGATTCACGGCAGCAGCCCACGCTTACGCGGACGAATACGAACGCAGATTTGGCCAACAGCTGCAGGATGACATGGGTATTCTGAAGCGGTAGTCTGGACATGTTGCCATGGGCAGAGTCGGGCACCAGACGGGCCGACAGTACAAAGCAGCAAATATCGCGGGCGATATTGCAACACCGGCCTCAACTGTTTGTTCCGTTTCCTCGCCGGGCTTTTTGATATTTTTGTTTTCTAAATTATATGTTGCAGTGAATATCCCAGAACAGAATGACCTGATATCAAACAGACTGATGATTCACCCAGCCTGATTCTCATTCTGTTTGTTTCTTTTCCTCAGCGGGCTTTTCGAGTTTTGTTTTCCAAATTACATGTTGCAGGAACTATCCCAGAACAGAATGATATCGAACAGACTGATGATTCACCCAGCCTGATCCTCATGATAGCCGTCTTGTTCCTTCAATCGAGCATATAAAGCCCTGACACGCTCAGTGAAAGCAGGGGTAACAGAATTTAGGAAGTATGTCAGATTGCTTGGTGCCTGCTGTCACTGTTGTAGGCGTTTCATCAGCGTCGTTTCCCAGAACATCAGCAAAGCGTGTGGCAGAACGGGAAACCCCAAGTCTACGAGTTGTCTTGGTTTAGATATTAAGAGCCCATTCCAAGAAATTTCACTTGGAGGAACAGACTGTACACTCCATTATATCCGTCGCCATTTCCATGTCGTATTTACACAAGCAAAGTAGACGTAACATCCGTCTTGGTACATTCACAGGGCAAACCTAGGCGCATTCAGACGACCAGGCGTGGAAGTCCGCCAGGGCGCGTGGCAGAGATGCCTTGGTGCTTTGCATGGCACGTTTTGAAAAGCTCCTCCCTGGGATCCGGATAACATGCCCGACATACGAGATGGAAGCATGGTGCAAGATAAACCTCGCGAAATATTGACAAGCACCCTTCGCATGGTCTGTTTCGCCGGTCTATGTTTGCCTTGGAATGAGCTGAGTTGAGCACGGAGATAACCTTCTCATACTCCCGCCGAGTATTCGTTAGTTGTTGTTGAAGCATTTTGCAGTTCTTTTTCAAACGGTGCGTATTTTGGACCAAATATTCCTTGCCCCAGACAGACGTCGTGGTAAACCAGGAGCCTTCTTGAAGCATGCGCACCTCACGGGAGATCTCGTTGAGCAGGGAGCTTGCACTTGCGCTGAATGTCCGCTCCCAGACGGTAGGCGTGTAGATGTAGGGCGATGGGCAACCCATATGCCGTTGGGAACATTCCCGACATACGAGTAGGAAGCTCGGCGCAAGATCGACATCCTTCACCAAACGTCACTCATGGCATTGCCGCTTATTTCGATCTTCGCAGGCTCGTAAGTGGGCTGTCCGCAGCTCGAATTGCTTGACGCTCAATTGCCGCCTTGCGAGGCCCAGTTGCTCCTCAAGATATTTGGATCGATTCAAGAGACGGCAATGCCCTTCCCATAATGCGGCTCTGCCGTGTGCTGCTTCCTGNACCCACAGCGTTCTTGCCCCTCATTTTCAGTAATAATTGGCGTCATCGCACACGGCCTGAACCGATCTCTAGCAACCTTGGCCTGTGCCAAAGTGTGCATGATAATGCTTTCTGTGCATATGTCTACCCGCTGGGCAGGCTGGTACATTGGCACACCGTCCCGTCAGTTCCCCGTTCACCAACGCTTGATAGAGCGCGCACCTTTTGGTGTGATGTTATCGCCGTCAGCCATTCTCGCGCCTACACGAAGAAATGGTACGTCCCTCAGTCAGTCTATTCCGTTCCTGACCAACATCCCGTACTTCCGTACTTGGTCACACGCACCTGGTTTTCCGCGGTGGACAGCGAGACCAGACACCTAGAGGGAGGGAGGCTTGAGCGGCAATACTTCTGTGAGCAAGGATGGGTATAACTCACTGCAGCTGCGGCTAGAATCCAGAATATCAGAATAGTAATAGAGAACATGACGCCGGAAGTTGTTTGGGCTGGCCTCGACATCTGTGCAAGAGATTGCTCTATCAATATATAATCCCCGAGGTCCCATCCATGGATGGATGCCCTACCCTGCATAAATTTGCGGACGCGCAAAATCGCGGCGTCTTGTACGCACGCTCAGGAATGGATCTCATCTTTGTTAGGGCAGAGACCTGATCAGACACGGGTCGTCGCATTCATGCTGATTTACCCGTAGACCTGTTAGATGAATACTACGAAACATTCCCGATGTAGATCGATTTGGGCCTCGTGGTCGAACGTAAGCTGCGGTTACTCCATACACCATGATATTAAACTCTGGCACTCATGGAGCGACCTCGTGCGCTAAGACGACTACATTCCTTGATCTGGGTACTACGCAGAATAAAAAGCTAACGCAGAAGGCTCGTGTATCCGCACCTCGAAAGGGCACAGTTTGTTGATGCTCATCCTAAAACTCGTTACTATAGGTCACAGTGAAATCCAGTCTTCCGGTGAGAATGATGCTAACTTCGGTCTCATATCGCAAACTGCCAGTATGGCAGTTCCTGTCCTCTCGCAATCAATTCTGCCTCCGATTTGCGGTCCCGATCAGATCACTGCAGAAAAACAGCTTCTAATTGCAGACAAGTGACGGAGGTTTTATGAAGGTCTATGCTTCAGCAGGATTTCCTCTACATCAACATGCCCTGCTTCCCTGGCGCGGTCCAATGGAGTTTGGTTGTAATAATCTTCTTCGTTGATATCCGCGCCATGATCAAGCAGCAACTGGACGATATTGGCCCGGCCAGTAGATGCAGCAAGACACAATTCTCTGTGACGAGGAGTGACCTTTAATATAATTCGTACTATATCCTCGTCCCCCTGAGCTACGGCCATGTTCAGTGGTGTGACTCCGTCAACGTGTTGTATGCCCGCGTCCGCGCCGGATTCAAGGAGCTGCCGAACAGCGGCGTGATTCCTTCGGCGTACGGCGTACGACAACGGGGACCACCTGTCCGGGTCCACCGCATTGATGTCTACACGGCCGTCCCGCAGTAGAAGCATCATAATGGAGAACGATTCGCGTCGCTGGGTGGCGAGATGGAGAACGGTCTGTCCGGCGCCATCTCGGGCGTGCAGGTCCACCCCTACCAACCCAAGGAAAAAACATATCGCGGACATATTCCCTTTTTTGACTGCCCGTAGAAGTCCGGAGCTGTTTTCGTGGTCTATGTTGTACTGGTATAGGTCCTTTTTCAACCAGCGATAAAGACCTCTGTTTGCCCTCATCAACGCAAAGATGTCTCGTGTGTCACGGAGCGCAGCGGCAATGTGCAGCACAAGTTCCGGTGGAAGGCTCGCAAAAGACATAATTAGAAGAATGTAAACGAGGCACTGCTCCCCAAGGAGGACAATGGACTGTATGGCGTCGGGGATGTGGCAGGGTAAGGAATCAGTGCTATTGCCTATCCATTGTCCCCTATAGTGAGATCGTAATATATCGTGGCCTGCAAGTCCTTACAGACTGGCCTATCACTGATAAAGGCATTGGGAGTACTCGTAGCAGTTATGGACAGGTACA